AAAACTGTCGCGTTACACGCGATTTATATATATATAAAAATGAACAAATTGAAACAAAATAAAAGTTTTTGAATTTTAGTTGATGATCACATCCATATTAGGTAACCCAATGTTTATTCTTATTGCCGATTTTACTATTTATAGAATGACTAAGAAATATCACATGACAAAACAATTTTTATTGCATTTTTGATTGGAAAATTTTTCCCAAAATTCGTCGCCGTGGCGCAGTAAGTTGCGGGATTAGGTGTCCTGCACTGTATTATTGTAAATAAAGAGTTATTATTGTAGTAAATAATTTAAAATTAGCCTAATGTTTTATTCACAATATAAAAAAGATGATAAAATTCGAAAACGAAAATTTTATTTTTTTAAAAAAAACTCTCAAAAAATAATTATAATCACTAATAAATATAATATAAAATAAATTCATAACCAACACATAATAAAAAACCAAGTTCATAATCAACATATAAAAAAAAAAACTAAAAATGGATCAAAATTATTCTGAAAATATTGGCAATAATAATGATTCTAACAACAATATTAATATTAATAACCAAGACTTTGTTTCTAATGCTGATAATTATAATTACGTCAATTACGTCAATCAAACCACTGGCCACTATTATAACAATTACATTCATCAAAACCCTGGGGACAATAACTTCGACCAAAACATCCAGAATTCTGTCGGAAATAATTACATTAATCGGAATTTTGGCGATATTCATCAAAATAATATCGCCAACGAAAGCTCGGGTATCATTAGTAATAATAATTTTGTTGACCAGAGCTTAACTAGAATTATCAACAATGACAATGACATCATTGACCAGAATCCAACTATTGCTACTAACATTAATCATCCGAACAATTTTTTTGACAATAATTTTATTGGATATCAAAATTCTATCATCGCAAATAATTTCATTGATCAAAACAACAATGATCAACTACTTATTTACATAGTATCTCAGCTTCAAATCCTCCAAAATTTTGTAAACCAATTTTTGAATAACAATAACAACAACAATAACAGATAGATAATTCATAAACCAATTTTAAATAGCGCCGATAATTAATCCATTATTCGTAAATTTTATTCTTTTTTATATTTTATATTTTGTTTGTAAATCCAGTTGTATTAATCACAAATATATAATCAATAAGAAACAAAATTTTTAAAACTCATTACTGTGTTCAGCCGAGAAGAGTATATAATCCAATGCTATATTAATATGACGTATGTATTATAATCATTTAAAGTTATTTAAGACAACTATAAATCTTCAAGGACTTAAAAGTGACCTGGTTAAGATGACGCAGCATTATTTGAATTATCTTTTGTATCTAAAATTTAGTTTTGGAGCCCACTCATGTATTTATGTACACGTGCTGAGTTCAAAATGTGAAACGATAATTCAAACAAGTTCATAATTTCGAATAGCCGATATAAAATAATAATAACAATACTGATAATGTTGTCAATGTTGATAATACTGTAATAATAATAATCACGATGTTTGTTGGCCAATCGTTTTAATCTCGATAATTAAATATTGTTGCTGGTTCTAATTAACAAACAAGTAATGCTAATCCATATTCTATCAATCAAACCCCTGGAGATAGTAATTTCGCTTATCAAATGTTGAATATATATATTAATTCCACTCATCACAATTTAGTTCATAATAATTTCATTCAGCAAACTCTTTTGACAATAATTACCTTAATAAAAACTTAATCGTTTCTCAAAACAATTTAGTCGACCAAAACAATGTAACTCCAACGAGTATTGTCAGTAATAAATAATATCATTGACCAGAACACCTTTATTGGTCCAATTAGCATGGTCAATAATACCAATGATCTTACTGTTATTGGCTCAACTAGAATTGTAAATACTAATAATAATCTCGTTTACCAGGACACTGTCAATAATGGTCTCGTTGACCAGAATCCAACTACTGGATAATTTTATAACAATAAACGACTACTTATGTATTTATGATAATAAAAATATTTCAACTTCGAAATTTCTAAATAAATAATAAATATACAACAATTCATTATTCATCAATCAACAGTGGTAATAATTATGGCGTCAACTAATTTTATTCAAAAGATTAAATATTAATTTATCTTTTAATGAAGTTTCAAAATAATAACTATTGTTAAGTCGATTTTGATGCTCATTATTAAATTTAAAGGGAGGCATTCATTTTACCGACAACTCGGGGGTTTACATTTAACCTTCACATAATCAAACAACTAATAAAATGCTAAAATGGCGCGCCACGTGTTATCGGTAAGGTAATACGTACCCAAATTCAAAAAAAACAAAGATTATCCATATACTTGTTGATCTTTCAATAAAGACCATTTATGGAATAAAAGAATATTTGGAGTGCGTGTAAAATAAAATATATATGACAGATATAGAAGGAGAAACTGGAGAGATTGGACGAGTTGGAAGGCTTGAAGGTTATAATCGTGAGGAGGGGAAGAAACGAGGGGATTCAAGGAAAAGAGCGATTATTCAGAATTAGAAGCGAACGAGTTACATGATGTACTATTTGCAATAAGTACCAAAGAAGTTGATTAACTTGTACTTTTCTTTCCCATTATTTTTTAAAAAAAAATTTAATTTTGCATTAATTGATAGGATCATTCAAAATCATTGGGAATACGTCGACACAATTAATTCTGCTGGTTTTGACTCATTCAGAAAAAGATTGTTGTTTTCATACGCACAATTTCTAATTGTAATTTTTCTCTTAGTATGAAGTTATATTTATATGTCAATCCATGCTTTGGACAAGATAATAATATCATGGAAACATGATTTTGTAACTATTGAATTTACATTTAAATTTCTTAATATCCAATCATAGAGAGAACTCCCTTAGAGCAAGCATTCTTATATGATTTACTAAATAATATCTGTAAACTTATTGATATTATTATATAATAACTTTGGCAATCATTTAAGATACGAGTAAAATCACTGTCGCCAGCTTCTTCCTCTATAAATGAATTAAGGCCATCTTTCATAATAAAGTAATTGTTGCTAGGGTCTTGATGAACAAAATTATTTCCAATAAAGGATTTTATGAATGAAGTTATTATTGTCTACAGAGTTTTGAAGAATGAAATTATTTTTGCTAGTATTTTGATGAATGATAATTTATTGTCTTCAGATTTTGATGAAAATTATTGTTTCCAAAGTTTTAATGAATAAAATTATTATTTGTTTTGATGGATGTAATTATTGTATACAAAGTTTTGGTGGACGAAGTTATTGCCGGTGAGGTTTTGATGAATGAAATTGTCGTCTACAAAGTTTTGATGAATGTAGTTATTTTCTTCAGGGTTTTGATCAATGAAATTATTGTCTCAAGGGTTTTGATGAATGTGAGTTTTATATTGTTGCTGTTAGATGAAGAATATGGTAAGAGCTTTCCTTAGTTTCTGCATAAAAAAAAAATGATGAACAATTGTTTTCCAAAATGCAAAATCTAATTCAGGCCCATTTTTATCATCTCTCAAAAAATCCAAACTTTTATAATTATTCTTTACTTCTCTTTCAACTTGAGTAATTTCAAACTAAACATTTTTGAATTATGACAGATTTTGGTTCTTTTCTAACCTCGCAAAAAAATAGAATCACCAATTATATCAAATGATTTTCGCCAAGACATAAAATGTTAGACATTACAGCTTTTGTCATTTCCAATGAGTTCATACAATTATTTTACAGCCGTTTTTTTTCTTGGATCATGCAAGCCAGTATTTAATGGAAAAAATCTTAGAATGCATCCTTGAATTACCAAATCATTAACATCTCTGCAAATGTCATGGTGGCCTACCTCTTTCCACATGTCGACAATAGTATGTTCTAATAAATTGCTCTTGCGATAATATGAAGATGTTGATTATTCTCATAGCCATCTTTCGCTGGAAATTCTTCTCGATTAATTATTTGCATTGTTCTAAATATTCATTTGTGTCTTCAAATTTAATTTTTGGTCTCGGAGGGAATGGAGTAAACTTTTTATTGATAATAAGACCACGAATTTTTTCAAAATTTACTTTAATTATTCGAGACATTTGATAAATGGGCAGCTGCCCAGAACTTAAAAAATGAAAATTTTCAATATCGTATCGTTCCCTTTTAAAGGCAAATTTAGACCAAATCTTTCTTCAGCTTTGTTTAATAAAGCAATAAATACATCAAACAATATATCCAATGACCATGGAGTCTTTATACTATTTTGAAAGGCTTGAAATTTTGCTCGAACTATTTCTTGAGATTATTATTATTATCTTGTAATTTTAATTTAATCAAATCTTGATCATACTAGCTGTATTGTAGTAATAAAATATCTGCATAGGTTTGCTTTTAAGGTCCTGTTATATTACACAAAAAGATTAATATAATTTTTCCCATTCAAAAAAGTTTTTGCGTAAATAAATTAAAAATGGTTATTATTATTTTTTTTTTTTGTGTAAGAAAAAAATTGACTCCCAGTTATTATGAAAACAATAAACACATATCACCTGATGAACACAATCACGTGATTTACAACGTAATTTTGTATGTATGGTTACACAATTGTTTAAATAAATGTACAAAAAACCCGCATCTCTTCTCTTCATTCCCCATTCCCCATTTTCTCTTTTTCTTTCCTTTTCTGAAATAAATTATTTTCTTCCTAATTTTCATTTTCTCTTTTCTGTTTTGATTAAATAAATTATTTTCTTATTATTTATCCGGAGATAGTTGTTGCTTCTATATACGCGTATGTTAATATAACAAAAATAAAAAACACAATGAGCTACCAAAATAATGTTACTTCTAACGAACAATCGAGTGTTCATAGCATTCCTAGCGAGACTTATTCTGGTCATTATCATGTTCACCAAAACATTATCAATAATAATAATAATAATAGTAATATACCTGAACCGGATCCAAATGGTAATAATTTGGATAGACATGACAAAAGATTGTTTTTTATGGCTGTTGTTGAAATTTTAACGGTGTCAACAATCACGGCAGCAACAACCACGGAAGCAAAAGCAATCATGATAATGATAGTTAATTTAGTAGCTATTTGCTTATTATTTTTATTATTTATAATTATAAAAAAAAAACAAAGCAATTAAATTAATTTTGACTCATATTCTTCTTTTTTCTTTATTATTATTTCCATAATTTTTTTTGTTTGAACATAATTTTTAAAATCAAATACAAAAAAACTATATAATATTAATATTAATATTATATACGATTCGGTTGTACAATCTCTTTTCAATGTTTCTTTTTAAGTAAATATTATTTTTTTTTTTAAATGGAAAATATTCTTTCTTTTATAATTTCATCTCGTTAGAACTAGATTATTTAATAATTTTAAAAAAATATTTATGCCCTTAATAATGTAATTTTAATTTATGATTCATAATAAAGTTTTTTCAAAAAAAAAAAATAAAAAAAAATACAATCATATAGTTCCTAGTAATTTATTTCGTCCACTAGTTTAGATAAAAAATCTACGCATTCTGATAGTAATTCATTTAAAATAAGGCAACGCAACATCATCTAATTTTTTTTTTACTATAATAAAATCAAATAGTAATAGTAAATCTTAATTTTAGTCAAGGTTCGCAACAAATCTTATATTTTTAATGTTAAAGGTAGTATATACAAAAATACAGGAGACTTGCTCTTTTCTCAGTGACAAATATTTTTGGGAACGTCGCAAATGAGCATTCTTTCCCCTCTTATTTTAAGTTTTATTTCATTTCAACGCTAGCTTCCGAATTAATAATCAGAGTTTGTGGCTAGAGAAATATTTGTTTACGAAGTTTTTGAGATTCTTTTTAGTAAATTCATTTGTTTATTTTGAAAATTTTTCTTTAAATGAAGACAAAAAACTATAAACGAAAATAAAGAATTTCTATTTATGTGGAAGGTAACGAATATAGATGGCGAATATTCAGATGAAAAGAATCAAGTGAAAGGGGAATCTCAGAATTGCAATAGATTTAATACCGACTTTTTATCTGCCAATTATGTGATACACCGAAGATGAACTAGTGGCAATGAAACAATAGACAAGTTGATTAAAGATACCCGACTTAAAAGCAACAGATTATCAACTAAAATTATCTTGATGGACTCCTTATGAAAATTTAAAAAAATATTGAATAGATATTAATCATATATGCTTGATTTTTTCTTAATTCATCGAGTACAAATCTAAATTTACCAAATATTTAGCTTACGTGTAACGTGACACGGCACATTTGATAATGAATCATTAATCAATAATTAATCTTGTTATCATGTTGGTTTTTTATTCTTTTCTATAACCTTCCGGTTTATTATTCTATTATAATAGCATGAATTTGTTAGATTAATAGCTCAAATCAACAATTCAACAAAAGATATGATATAATTTGTTCATTATTATCTTCTTTCAAAAAAAAAATTGTTATATAAAAAAATAAAATAACATTTGCATAAGATTTTTTTTCCATAAAGGGTTGAAAGACAAATTTTATTCATATAATAATAATATGAATAATAAATTCATTGTAACAATTTTATTTTATTCTGTGTAGAGAATAATGTTACAACATAATATGAATTTATTGTTTACACGTTAATTTATTTCATATCTCTGTTGTATGTGGAAATGAAATTATGTTAATTTTTTCTATGGTCCCAAAACCAGATAATGCTAACAATTCTCAATTAACTTGTTTCGTTTTTACTTTTTGTTTTTCATGACTAAGTTCCTTCAGTGATAATTTTTTTTTCTTTTGGAAATTTCATAGGCAATCCTTTCTTTTCTTAGATGAGCTTCGAGTGTCTGAGTATCATTTACTTTGAAAATGTAAGGAGCAATTTTTTCACCTTGTTCCTTCTTCAAAATACCTCTAATACTAATGGTGCTATAATTCTTGGGTTCCATAGTAGATCTGATGTAAATTAACTTCATATTAACTTTTTTATATAGGGAAAATTCTATATATCACTTAAGGTAACAAATTGGACTGTTAAATTATAATTACAATGCAATTGTGATAATAATGACTAAATTTTGATCCCTGAAATTCTTGATAATACCAATGTTCACTTTGTCTGGTTTTGTTGCAGTCTGCCCCATATATAAAAAATTAATTTAATATGACAAGCCCATCCGTAATTGATTAATTAACATTTTAATTATTATTATATAATTTATTAATTAATCACCATTCACTAGTACTAGGGCTTCTATTCAAACAAGGTTTATTCGAATTATTCACTTTATTCGTTATTATTATGAATTTGAGTATTCGAATTACATTGAAAGTTTATTCAAATAAATTTTTATTCAAGTAAACGAATAATTCGAATAAGAAAGTTGATTTGAATAATAATAAGGAAATTAATTCAAATAAAATGAATAATTCGAATAAGAAAATTGATTCGAATAAAAAAATTAAAAATTGATTTGAATAAGAAAAAATTCGAATAAGGAAATTAATTCGAATAAGGAAATTAACTTTTGAATAAAGCAAATAATTCGAAAAAAATTAATTCGGATAAAACAAATAATTAAGGTCCAGTTTAAAATTCAAGCTCACTGGAATCTTGTTTCAGTCTTTCCTTATTAGTTTCATTTTTAATTTCAAGTTTTATAATAATAAAATCAATATTAAACCTTGTTGTATATATAGTTTGAATATTTAAGTAATTGAACAACCCATGATTCCAAATAATCTAATAAAATGAATGAACAAACCCAAGATTCCAATAATGAATAAAACAAATAAAACAAATAAAACAAATAATTTGAACAAAACAAATCATTCGAACAAACTTTTTAATTTGAATTAAAGATCAACTGTATTAGTATTACGAATAGAAGCCCTAACCATTACTATATTTTAAAAGAAATGATTTATGAAATTCTTCTAATTTCTTACAAAATCCATCAAACAATTCTTCTGGTGGAAGAAAAGTACTACGAAAATGCCAAGTGCCCTCTTTTTGTCTAAAACCGTTGCCAGGTACTACTATACAGACACCTGTTTCCTCAAGCATATCAAAACATTAAAATTCATCAGGTTGTCTACCCAATTATTTTGCCATCTTTATTGCTTTTGGTGGAAGTTTAATTCTTGGGAAAAGATACATCGATCCCTATTATTTAAAAAAATTTAGTATAACAAGTATAATATATATATACAAGAATTATAACATTAAAAAAATATACCAGAGTACTATTACATAATTTTTGACTACTTTTCAGACCGTTCTGGTAGCACAAAATTTTAACCAATGCAATTGTTGATTGAATCAAAATCGTGAATTTGATAATGTAAAAATAAATGTTGGTTTGATTCATTTTATCTACAATCACTTCACCAACAATTGTTTCGTTAACAAATGGTTTGAATTTAAGAAGTTGGAAGCAACCATGTGACAAGCCTTTGAAATAGACTAATAAATTAAATTGTACTACTCGAAAATGTATTTAAAGGGTTGGTATTCGACTTGGTTGAAGAATAACTCTCTTCCTAACTCTTCTCTTGACTATATAATTGAAATAACCTTAATATAATGAATGTAAACAAAATGATTGTAGACACAATCAATATTTAAGATATACGATTAAGACAAAACATGAAAAAATCAAACAAATTTATTTAATAAAAACAAAAATTACAACCCAAAAAATGCTTTTTTTGCATGTTCTAATAAAATTTCTATTGTTGCATCACCTATTTCTGATTCAACGTTACCATATCATCATCGATAAACTCATTTTTGTTTAACCTTTTCGTCCTACTTTCTTTTAGTACGTTGACTTTTTTTTTGATTTCGAATTGAAGATAGTCCAAGATATCAAACATTTCGATTGGCACCCTTGTAGACAATGATTGTAATAATCATGTCCACACGTGAGTATATACACTACAATTATTCAAATTAGTATAGTTAGTGTAATCACAATATATGTAATCGCAAAAAATGTTTGTAGATGGTCTCCTAGAAGTATAACAAAGCCTTTGGAAGGTGACGGTCGGTTATTTCGTAAACTAAAGAAGGTAATTTGTATGAGTTAATACCATTATATATTAATTTCATGCTTGATATATCTTCGTAAACGCATCTAAAAGCAATACAGCACACTTTCGGGAAAGCATATGCAATTGCTTCGGTGTATATGAATATTTCATAGAAACTATTAAATGTTGTCGAAAAGTATTGTCCTTTCGATGCTGAAAAATAAAATATGCCTCCTTTTTCAGTTGTTGTGCAGCGAAAACTTAGCCGTACGTCATCAAATAATGCTGTGAATGATTTCTACAGAATTATCACTTAAAGAGGCGAGATAATTAGTAACCATTGGATGATTTATCTCCATCCAATAAAAGACATCAGAAAAAAAATTAAAAATGCACACTTATAATTCCTTCGATCAAACCAAAGAAACTTTTACGATGACCTCTACCAACTGCTATAACTTCATGACTTTCACGACTTCCATGATTTCCATGGCCTCCACGACCTCCGTGATTTACATAATTTCCATGATTTTATTTCATTATACAGTAAATAATATATTAAAGGAGGATTTAGTTTGAAATGAATAGAAAAAAAGGTTTTAAAAAAAATATTAAACTTTAAACCTACTACTATAATTTGTGTTGTAAAACAAATTGTTTAACAACGTGATGTACAACTCAAATTAAAAGTAGTAAATTTAACTTAAGATCCTGATGAATATTAACTAATAATTATGATTGATGATTGTGATTTATGATTCGAATTTGATTATGATATTTTTATTTTATTTTTTGCAGCCATTTTATCATATATTTGCATTACACTTTATTATTCATCAAGTACTTTATAGTGTAAGTTTGTAATATTTTTTTTAAAAAAAAATAAATATATATACAGTGCGCGAAAAAAGTAATGAGAATGACGTTTTTATTCATTTTACGACGAGAAAAGGTTGCAGTACATAAACATTTACAAATATACTGTACATAATACGACAAAAAAGTTTACTTAAGGTTAGTTTATCGTATTAACATTACTCGCAATCACACTCTCCGGTCTTTTTGACATACTATGAACTAAATTAACAAAAATTTCAGTTTCAATTCCTTCCCACTCTTTCTGAATTATCTCAAGAAATCAATTTGTAGTAACTGGTTTTTTTTAAATTAATAATTTGTTGATTTCTTTCTCTACATGTCCCTTTAAAATTGTCCATAAATTTTCAATTGGGTTAAGATCTGGACTATTGGATGACCAGTCCATTAACTTTGGGCATCGTTGGACGAGAAGTTCCATAGTTTCCTTAGCTTTATTCTTCGGATCATTACTCTGTTGGAACATTTCGATTTTTTTCCCATTGTGGCATTGCACTTGTGATATGACCGGTTTCTTTAACTGGTCAAATATGAAAAAGAAATAGAGTTTAATTACGATGTATTTTATTCTCATTACTTTTTTCGCGCACTGTACATATATATATATAATTATAATAGGGAGCATCAGTGATAATTTTATCAAAATTTGATATAAATTCATTTGGTATGCGATACAAGATCATAAAATAAATATTATATGTGTAGTTCCACCGATCGTGCTTCAACTGGTTAAAGTCCCAGTTGTTGGCAATTATGATTTAACAAGCTTGAAATTTTTATTCTGTGCTGCTGCTCTGTTAAGCGAAGAGTCGAGTAATATGTTCAGCAACAAATTTGGTACACCTCTTAAGCAAGGTTATGGACTTACTGAAACTACACCAATCATTACAATGGATAGGACCGATGATATCACAATTGGTAATTTAAAAGATTGTCGAAGGAAGGACAGAAGGAAATAAATGAATAAATAATTTTTTTTTTTGAAAAAAAAAATATGGAATTCTTATAGCAAAATATGGAAGCAAAAATTATTGATGAAAATGGAAAAGGTAATTAACAACGAATCATTCATTATTTATCACTAAACAATTAATTGATTATTATATGTTTATATTTGATAGAACTTGAGATTAACGAACAAGGTGAACTATGTGTTCGTGGTCCAAACATTATAAAGGTACTGATCATATTTATATGAATATTGTTAATCAATTTACTTTAATTGATCCTTTACATGTCTAAGAAAACCAAATAGGGTTTATCGAGGCCACTAAAGAATGTATTATTAGTAAAGATGGATTTTTCCGTACCGGAGATGTTGCTTTTATTGATATTAATAAAAATGGTAGATTATTGTAATATCATAAAACTCTTTTATTTTTAATTGGCATATTTCTTATTATTGTTATTGTAAGATAATGTTGTTTGACAAAATTTTACCAAAGTTGTAAAACTATTACGTTAAATTAAATCAAAACGACACTTTAAATGCTAAAATATCACTTTATTGACGATCCTTGAAAATTATTATTTTAGTAATCAATGAATTATAAAAAACAAACAATTTTTTATTTGAAAGAGGAGAAATAGGCTTTTATTTAAAAAAGAACTCGGATTAATTTAATTCAAGGTTATAAAGTTACAGGTCCTGTGACAAAACTTTTTGAACCCCCCACGTAAAGTAAATTTGTAAACTGGTTAATTGACAAGCACCAAATTATTTGCAAGAGTAAGCAAAAGTTAAGCCATAATTGTTAATCAACCGAAATGATACCACGATTTAACAAGAGTCAAAAGATTTATTATTTCAAAACATTATTATAATTTAGCTTTAAAGAAACAAAATAAGGATAAAATAAAAAGATAAATAAAAAGATAATGAATAAATTTATAGTGGAGATTAAATTAGTCATTCGTCGATTCTCTTCTTTTACTATTGTGATTAATTAATTAATATTGTTAGTAATGGATAATATTTTCCAATTAATTAATAATAAAATTTTTATTCACCTTTGTTAACATTTAGAAAAAAGAGTTACAATCAAGATTATTTAACGAACTATTGCTTGTATAACTTTTAAAGCTCTTAGATTTAGCAATCTCTTCATCCAATATTCTGCTTGTATGATATGCGTCTGGATGTGGTTTGTGTACTTGTTGCAAAGCACTACTACCACCACTGCTGCTATTGCCATCATTATTAAAATCAATTTCATGTTTTTTGATTTTAGAAAATATGAATAATCTTTTTATTAAACTTTTATTTTTTAAGTTCTTATTTGTTAAACTTTTATTTTCAAAAACTTCATTATGTTTATTTATAGCAAAATAAAACAGCTCTTCATTAGTTGGTCTTTTTGATGGTTCCACATCCCAACACCTCTGCATCATTTGGACATAATCATCAGGCATTCCAGGTAATATTGGTGGTCGTAAGCCTTCTGCACATATATCAAAAATCAAATGATGATTGTGAGCTCTATCATCAAATGGTTGATGACCTGCAAATAATTCCCACATTAACATCCCAACACTATAGATATCAGATTCTTTGGTGTTCTTCTTGCCTCTAAGTAGTTCTGGTGCAACATATGATACAATTCCATAGACTTTATTTGATGATTTTTCATCAACTGATCCACATAATCCCAAATCTGTAATAAAACAATTACCTCCTTGCACAAGTATATTACCACTATGTAAATCACAATGAATTAAATCTTTTTCATGTATATAATATAATGCCTCACATAAACAATGAAAGATTGTAATTCTGTCTTTTAATGTTAAATTTAAATGGTTTTTTTGCAAATAACCCCTTAAATTTCCCTCTGAAATATAGCCTAAAACTATTGCAAAATTTCCATTATCTGGGAATTTAGTTATACCATGGCAAGGAATAATCAGTGATGTTCTAACTTTACAATAATTCATTGCCTATTGGATATAAAATCAATTAGTATTATATAATACAGTATTATTTATTTTGTTTTAAATGACAACTACTAACCTCATCAAAAAATGCTTTTCCTGGATTACTTGAATTGTTTAAACTTTTTAATACTACCATTTGCCCATTAACTCCAAAATAACTAAATTCCTTTTTATTTTCATCATAATCATCAACACTTCCTCTTGTTCATGTAGCAGTATAATTTGAACTAAATCCACCTTCTGTCAACCTTGTTACATCATAAAATTGCTCAAAAGGTACCCATTCTATAATATAGTTTGGCAGAGATGATTTCATTTGATATTGTTGAATAAAGTTGTCAACTATGTTATTTCCAGATGTCCAAGTGGTGAAAAGACTCTGTAAATGTAAACTGATACAAACTTCACAGAATCTATCAGAGTATTTTGTCAATTTACACTTGTTACATTCTTTTGGTTTGCCCCATTTATATGTTGCATTATTTAATTCATGCCAATAAATAAAATTTTCTTTACAAAATTTTTTTTCTTTTTCAGAAAGCTCTTAACATTAGCATTATTATACATTTCATTGTTGGTTTTTCTTACAAATCCTGTCCTTTCTGGTGATAACAAACTGTAATATGACATTATAAAATATAAACCTTTGGCTTGTTGTTTTAATGAATGAGAATAACGGTTATATTATTTCCTTTTTTCATTGCGGACGTGTAACAAACAATTTTTTCGTACAACATTTTATTTTATTATTATTATGTAAATCGAAAAACGAAAATTGCATTATTTAAAGATCAATTTCACCATCATCTAACTCTAGTGATCGATTTATCATGATTCAACAATAAAACAAATTCTTTGAAAATTTAAAAGTGATAAAAATAGAAAACAAAATTAAAATTTTACAAAAACATGTACCAAAACTGTCTTATGTGCTATGTAAAGGTCATTCTAAGTACCAATATTAACCAACTTATATTTGCTTCAAATTCAGACACTAAAGACAGCTCAAGCATATTATTAATATTATTGTTATTGCGTATTACTACATATTGCATGTAATTTTGTAGTTAATCAATTTAACACAATGCATAGTTAAGAATAAAGTTGGATAACTAGTGTATGTTAATCAGAAATACTGGTAGTATTATTGTAATTGTGATCCGTGAAACATCTGCAAAATTTTGCAGGTCGCTAATTAAAATTTTCTGGACTCCAACTCCTTTATGTTGATATAAACTAAAATTGTACTTTTAACACATGATATGAATCTCGAAGTTTAAATATACAAATTTTCAAAGGGACTTTCTTATAAAATATTTTATGTTTATATGTAGGAATCGCTGGATTCCTGCCTAAAATTACTATATAAAATTTAAAGGTTTGAGTAAGCAACTAAAAATATTTATGATGTAAAAATGGTTGTAGAATTAATTTTATTCAAGAAAAATATAAATATGTTATTTCTATTTAGCTTTTAATAGTTACTCTTTTTAAAATAAAATAAAAATTATCATGGTCATGTAATTTTATTGACTCACGTTGATCACGTGAGGTAATGTCAGATTCTCAAAACTCCTGAAAAATTATAATGTTTATTACCACCACAAAAACATATTAATGATCGGCAAATTTTTGCAGTTGTTTCACAGATTACGAATTAATATTTTTCATCTACAAGGTGCAGAATTTCATGAATACAAAAAAAATATTTTCATAATATAATATTACAGTCAAGCTATCTTTTTTTTAATGCCACAAAATGTTGTGTGAAATATCAAAAATACAGGATATAATAGAAAATTTTTTTAACAAAAGTAAAACTTGGTCGCTACTTACTTTCTTCAACACAGAACAAAGGCTGATGACTTTACATATGACAAAGGAACTGAACATAAGTTATACAGGGAAGCATTAAGCTCATTATCAAAACAACACACCCTTGCTCGTGAACTCCTTTTGAATTTTAAGGTCGAGTGTATTTATATTTTATTATCATTAATCGAGATAAGTTCAAGGGCTAGAGTAGGTTCAGAGCTAGAGTATGTTCTGGTCCCAAGACAAAATACATGACATATTGACAAATCCCGAGTAGTCAGCTGAGTAATGCCTTGGTTGGTGAGAGTGAAGTAACATCTTCCCTCGGGTGCTCCTGAATAGATTACATAGTTGCTGCTATAACGCAATTGGATGGAGACATTCCAACTGGTTGTCAGGACACATTCCATGCTATAGTCTACTCATGCTTCTTTTTTTTTGGTTCAAAAAATAGGCCATCTAGCTTGATACTAATTTATGTTTTCTTTCCCATAAAAGAACAATAAATCCTCCATAAGTATGGATAATTTCTGGGTGCTTATAAATAAAAAACTCAATAACGAAAAATTTGAATGCATAGAGGTTAGCGAATTATTCATATTAACTGGTATTTCGATCCAACCATTAAATTCCTAGTTTAATACTATTAATAGATCTGACTATAGCTGATGAGGTGACCCAGCACATGAAGAAATATATAAGTTCAACTACTACCAGAGTTACCAAGAGATTTTTGGACAGATATGAAACAAGCCCATCAAAACGGTTAACAAAAGTCAGTAGTTGCTATCAATTTTGGAGCTGATTATTAGCTTACTTAATTCAACAATTTTCTTAATTTAGATAAAATCAAGCATCGAAAATGACAAAAATGAGACACACATGTAAGTTGTTGTAGTATCATCAAATTCATCCATTGCTATATGTGATTAATACATATCACTCATTTTGATCAAGTCAAGAGGCAATTGAAAACAATCCATTTTTAGCATCCGAGGATGAGGTGTGGTAGTTTGCATTGAGAATGCTTTTTTCAAATTCTGATTATCCATAGAAACTGAAATCATAGATATAATTACCAATAATTTCTAACCAGTATGGCCGTATGGTTCTTTTTTAGAAGCACGAATCGCCATGTTATACAGCTGAAGAACAAAATGAAATCCAAGATGCAATCAAAAAATTGCTAGAGGTCGATCATTCTTTTGCAGCATCTATGATGCGATTCTCAGATGTAAGTTGAAGATAACTGGCTTTTTTTCCATTTGTTCAAACTTAATATTATTATTAATTTCAGGTTAGAACTACAAATGAATTACGAAAGATTTTAGAAGAAACTTCCTTTAAAGATAGGAATGAGCCTTATGATTGAGTGAAACATTACGATGCTGAATGGGCTGAAATTGTGATGAGGAAGTTGTGTGTATTTTTTTATTATTAGCAATGTCATTACAAAGTCTTAATAACTTATATTTTTATTTATTACCAAAGTCTTACATATTATGAAGACCCTAATGAAACACTGCAAAAGCAACATCTCGAGTCCTGGTATGACATAAATGTGTGGTCCCTTATTGTCAATCATGGTCTCTCTGATGTGATTGGATTGGAAATGGTCAGGTACATGTCTCCTGTAATTGTCATAACTACTTCTGTGTATTATTAGACTCTTTGATTTACTTCTTTCTAAAGACTAGTGCTGTAATCCAAAAAAGGAAAAGTATGGTTGCAAAAGTGGCCACAAAAGTAATTGCAACCACTTTTTATATGCCATAAATACAATTACTACCTTTATGGCACCAGACTTTACTTCTTTTATAGAAAGGAATTGTCAAGTATAGCTGTAGCCATGAGAAAAAACTCAAGGAGAACATGTACACATCACAAAAAACCAAAACATAAAAAGATGGTATATCAGATGGATGGGATACTCCAAATGTATATTGATGGGGCTGAGTATGGAGCAATTGAAGTGGCCCAAGAAGTTTGATGCAACCAAATTGTTGACTGATGGGTTTAAACTAACGAAAGCTATGCATGACATCATTGTATACCTGAGTGAACAAGCTCATTTTGAAGAAACAAAAGTAAGACAACTACGAGTTGCTGGCATGCTTCACATGGGTAAGTAAATAATTAATCTGCAGTCTTTAGCACTTTTTCCAAAGTAAACTGATTTGATTTGACTTATAGGTCTCAAATTGCAAGTTTTGCAAATGAGTAGTCCTAAAGGGCAGTGTTGTGCCATTTATGGTTCCAATAAAATTTCATTGGAGCATTCTAATAAATTCCAATTGGAATTGGAACATT